AGAACAATCAAAAAAAGAGGGAATCCTCTGAAATTTCTTCTATGAAGCCAGAATCACCTTAATCCCTAAGCCGGAAAAAGATGGAGAATTGAAAGAGAATTACAGAACAATATCCGTGATGAACATAGACGCAAAAATCCTCAATAAAATTCTCACCAATAGAATACAACAACACATCAGGAAAATCATCCACCCATACCAAGTGGGATTTATCCCTGGTATGCAGGGATTTTTCAACATTCATAAATCAATCAATGTGATTCACCACATTAACAGACTGCAGAAGAAAAACCATATGATTATCTCAATAGATGCAGAGAAAGCATTCGATAAAATTCAACACCCTTTCATGATGAAAACTCTAAGCAAATTGGGTATAGAAGGAACATTCCTCAATATAATCAAAGCAATTTATGCAAAATCCCATAGCCAGCATCCTATTGAATAGGGAAAAGTTGGAAGCATTTCCACTGAGATCTGGCACCAGACAGGGATGCCCACTCTCACCACTGCTATTTAACATAGTTCTGGAAGTTTTAGACATCAGACAAGAAAAAGAAATTAAAGGAATACAAATTGAGAAGGAAGAAGTCAAACTATCCCTCTTTGCAGACGATATGATTCCTTACTTAGAGGATCCAAAGAACTCTACTAAGAGACTATTTGAACTCACAGAGGAGTTTGGCAAAATAGCAGGATATAAAATCAATGCACAAAAATAAACAGCCTTTGCATACACAAGCAATGCCACGGCTGAGAAAGAACTGCTAAAATGAATCCCATTCACAATAGCAACAAAAACAATGAAATACCTTGGAATAAACTTAACCAAGGATGTTAAAGTTCTCTACGATGAGAATTACAAAATCTGAAAGAAAGAAATAGAAGAGGATACCAAAAAATGGAAAAATCTTCCATGCTCATGGATTGGAAGAATCAACATCATCAAAATGTCCATTCTCCCAAAAGCAATTTATAGATTCAATGCAATTCCAATCAGGATACCAAAGACATTCTTCTCAGATCTAGAAAAAATGATGCTGAAATTCATACGGAGGCAAAAGAGACCTCGAATAGCTAAAGCAATCTTGTACAACAAAAACAAAGCCGGAGGCATCACAATACCAGATTTCAGGACATACTACAGGGCAGTTGTAATCAAAACAGCATGGTACTGGTACAGAAACAGATGGATAGACCAATGGAACAGAATTGAAACACCAGAAATCAACCCAAACATCTACAGCCAACTTATATTTGATCAAGGATCTAAAACCAATTCCTAGAGCAAGGACAGTCTATTCAATAAATGGTGCTGGGAAAACTGGATTTCCATGTGCAGAAGCATGAAGCAAGACCCCTACCTTACACCTTACACAAAAATCCACTCAACATGGATTAAAGATCTTAATCTACGACCTGACACCATCAAGTTATTAGAGAACATTGGAGAAACCCTTCAAGATATTGGCACAGGCAAAGAGTTTCTGGAAAAGACCCGGGAGGCACAGGCAGTCAAAGCCAAAATCAACTATTGGGATTGCATCAAATTGAGAAGTTTCTGTACTGCAAAAGAAACAGTCAGGAGAGTGAAGACACAACTGACAGAATGTGAAAAAATATTTGCAAACTATGCAACAGATAAAGGGTTAATAACCAGAATCTACAAAGAGATCAAGAGACTCCACAAAAACAAAACCAACAACCCACTTAAGAGATGGGCCAAGGACCTAAATAGGCATTTTTCAAAAGAGGAAATCCAAATGGCCAACAGGCACATGAAAAAATGTTCAAGATCACTAGCAATCAGGGAAATGCAAATCAAAACCACAATGAGGTTTCCCCTCACCATGGTTAGAATGGCTCATATACAGAAATCTACCAACAACAGATGCTGGTGAGGATGTGGGGAAAAAGGGACACTAACCCACTGTTGGTGGGAATGCAAACTGGTCAAGCCACTATGGAAGTCAGTCTGGAGATTCCTCAGAAACCTGAAGATAACCCTACCGTTCAACCCAGCCATCCCACTCCTTGGAATTTACCCAAAGGAATTTAAATTGGCAAACAAAAAAGCGGTCTGCACCCTAATGTTTATTGCAGAACAATTCACAATAGCCAAGACCTGGAACCAACCTAAATGCCCATCAACGGTAGACTGGATAAAGAAATTATGGGATATATACTCTTTAGAATACTATTCTGCAGTAAGAAACAATGAAATCCAGTCATATGCAATAAAATGGAGGATTCTGGAAAACATCATGCTGAGTGAAATAAGCCACTCCCAAAGGGACAAATACCATATGTTCTCCCTGATCGGTGACAACTGACTGAACACCAAAAAGGAAACCTGTTGAAGTGAAATGGACACTATGGGAAATGGTGACTTGATCAGCGTAGCCCTGAATGTTAATGAACAACTTAATACATTATCCCACTCAGTATTTTTTGTCTGTTCTACTTAATATGACTGGTTTAATTCTGTAATTAATACACAGTCATTCTTAAGTGTTGAAATTTAACTGAAATGTGATCCCTGTTAAACATAAGAGTGGGAATAAGAAAGGGAAGAGATACACAATTTGGGACAGGCTCAAGCAGACTTGCCCCAAATGTTAGAGTTAGAAACATACCAGGGGATTCCAATTAAATCCCATTAGGTGGCATGTACCAATGCCATCTCACTAGTCCAAGTGATCAACTTCAGTTCACAATTGATCATAATAAAAGGAATAAGAGTCAAAGGGATCACATAAACAAGACTAGTGTCTGCTAATACTAACCGATAGAATAAAGGGGAGAGTGTTTCAACATGGGAAGCAAGATACACAGCAGACTCATAGAATGGCGGATGTCCTAAACAGCACTCTGGCCTCAGAATCAGCCCTAAAGGCTTTCCGATCTGGCTGAAAAGCCTATGAGAGTATTTCAGGCATGGAAAGCCAAGACACTCTGGCAAAAAAAAAGACCTAAATGAAAGATCTCTGTGAGTGAGATCCCAGTGGAAAGAACAGGTCTTCAAAGAAGGAGGTACCTTTCTCTGAAGGGAGGAGAGAACCTCCACTTTGACTATGACCTTGTCTATACAAGATAAGAATCGGAGAACTCAAAAGGCTTCCATAGCCTTGGAAACTCATGACTGGAGCATAGGGAGATTACTGATGCCATAAACAGGAGTGTCAATTTGTTAAGTCAAAAACAGGAGTCACTGTGCACTTACTCCTCATGTAGGATTTCTGTCCTTGGTGTGCTGTACATTGAGATTTAATGCTATAATGAGTACTCAAACAGTATATTTCACTTTATGTTTCTATGTGGGTACAAACTGTTGAAATCTTTACTTAATGTATACTAAACTGATCTTCTGTAAAAAAAAAATAGAAATTATCAACTCCCAACTTGACTCTCACTGAAATTAAACATTACAATAGGTCTGATCTGATTTCATCATCATTAAAAAATCATCTATTATTTTTCACTTTATGTTTCTGTGTGGGAGCAAACTGTTGAAATCTTTACTTAATGTATGCTAAATTTATCTTCTGTATGTAAAGAGAATTGAAAATGAATCTTGATGTGAATTGAAGGGGAGAGGGAGTGGGAAAGGGTAGGGTTGCAGGTGGGAGGGACGTTATGGGGGGGAAGCTATTGTAATCCATAGGTGTACTTTGGAAATTTATATCCATTAAATAAAAGTTAAAAAGTGTCAAATAGAAAAAATATTATCAACTTTTATGATGTTGTTGCTAAAGTTCCTTTATACAGAAATGTATGATCTCAGATTCCATATATGTTTATGTAGTTAGAATACATATTTCCCTAAAATAAGTCTAAAGTTCTAGAATGGAAGCATTCATTACAAGCTATAAAAATATCAAATATCAAATTTAGCATTAAGAATGTAGAAGATAAAAATGTTAAATATGAAAGAAACACTTAAGCAAAAATTATTGAATATATCTCTGTGATAATTTTTAAAATTCATGTACAACTATTTCATAACACACATTTGCCACAAATTTTATGAAGCCTAGTAATTGCAAGGAGTTCATCCTCTCCATTCCCAATTTTTTTTTCAGTAAATCATGTGCATTCACATTGACTCTACTTTTAGTTTCTACACATTAGAGAAAACAGTGGATACTTGCTCTCTGATTTAGATTGACTTTTCTTGTTTATCTGAATAGAAACAAGTTTCATCATTTGACTGGTAATAAACTTAACTCATGAAGACATTATATTTTCATTTTTAGGCAAGTCACTGAATCCTGTTGTGTATTTTGTCCCTACACTGCATCTCACTTTGCATGAGCACCTAATCAAAATCTCACTAATGACATCAGAGCAGTGGCTAGGCCATAGAAAATGTGTTTTGCTTAAAATATTAGGGACCACATTTACAGTAATTTGAGTTTAGAAACCTTTTGAGTGGAAAAATAGAGTTCTCATATATATGCCCTCTCTACCCCACTTACTAGATTTTCTCCATTGGCAATACCTCACACAGGTATGCAAGCTTAAATGATTAGTCCGTATTGATCCTCATTATTGCCTATAGGACATGGTATCCATTGTGTTCACTCTTGTATTGTGCAGAATGTAGATTGGGCTATGGTTTAATGGTACATAGCTGACCTGATGGTGTCCTATATAATAATCCTGAAAGTCACTTGCATTCAAGAAGTACAGGTGTCTGCCCATGGTGTTTGTGGTGGTGGGAATAAAGAGGTGACATTCAGCTGGTATTGTCTGCTTTAAAGTAAAAAGCGAGCAGTACTCAAATAGTCCCAGGTTCTCATGAGAGCATCAACCAAGGTTGTAGGTGTGCAAACAGATCATCATGGGATTCCATGGTTAACAGCAACATGGAAAGGTTTTATGCTTTTCAACTAAAGATGAAGTGATTAGACATGCAGAATGAAAATATCTGAATTCAGGGTGATTACTGGTTCCACACTGATTGAAAACCACATGTCCTAGTGGGTATCTCTGTAAACAGGTTGGTTTGGGGTCTATGTGCTAACAAAGCGATGTGTGGCTGCCCAGAACACTGGCTGAGGGAGGCTGCCCTGTTGCACTTTGGGACATTGTATTGTTTGATACTGGAGTTTTCTTGTCTGAATCCTTACAGAAAGCCTTGACTGATGCCTCCCTTTATGCCCTGTGATGCAATCCCAGTACATAATTGGAAAAAGTTCATGGAGAGGTTTATTGACAAACCCTTGCAACAAATGTAACTATCAGGGGTTTCTTCCTTGAATCTTTGTCTCCATGGACTTGGAGGAAAGCCTGGCACCTGGGGCAAGGAGGATGATTCACAAACATGTTTTTCTTCTTGTGTTTTTCACCAGGACAGAAGACCTGAACTGCAGAGCCTCAGGGCAGGAAAAGTATCAGATTCCCCCATGGATGAGTGGACAGCTGTTGGAAAGAGGTCAGATGGAGCAGTATTAAAGTGGCTAGTTTCAAGCAATCACACACACACGCGCGCGCATGCTCTATGTATGCACTTGCATGACCCTGCATGTTCACTGCTGTTGTGTCCTAGGGTTTTACACATTTGAAGATGTTCCCTTTGATTTTTCTGTTGCTCTTTCTGCAGCTGTATCTCCTTGTGACTTGTCAGGATGGTCCCGACTGCTATTCCCAGATGGAACAGAGTTTTTACAAGGATGGAGATATTGAGATTGCTGCTTTTTTGCACATTTACACATATGAGATTCCCATAACCATGATGTGGCTCAGCAAATTTCGCAGATTCAGATGGTAAGTTGTCCTTGTCATAATCATTTTCCATTAATTCACATATTACCTACTTGTTATTAGGTCTGCAATTCTATAGGCAAATATGTTCTGTATCCCTGCCATGTCCATCTTCTCTCCCTCCTAAAAACTGCTGGTAATTGATTTGGGGCATGAGGAAGACATTTCTTTCTGCCTGGCACCATGGATGGTTCAGGGAAATGGTGTCTCATCAGAGGAGGAACCAGAGTCCGGTTGGTATCTTCCTGTCCTTCCCTGTCCAGGTTCATCAGCTCAGTAGCAGATTCTTACAGAACCCATGCACTGAAATGAACAAATCTGAGTTACATGAGCTCTTCCACATGTGCTCACACTCTTTTCTGCTACGTACTAGATTTGGGGCCATGAGAACACTTCATTTCTTCTACAGTTGTAAAGGAGAAAAGATTCAAAAAGTTTTTTCTATATAAAAGTAATCTCAGGGCAACACCTTTGCACAAATATAGTAATTATATTTTACTGATGAATATACCTATAAGAACTTCAATGGTTGTAATCTACTTCATTTGCAATATTTCCCTGATTCTGCCTTTTCTGGTCAAAATAGATTTCTTAAGGGGGATTATTCTGTTTCTGCCCCTCTTAAAGGTACTTTATTTGTAGCTAAATATGTGTTTCATTATATATATATATATATATATATATATAGTATGTATAAATTTCATGCCTACAGAATATAGTATCTTGTAAGACATTAGGACTGTTTTCTTCAAACCTGTTTATGAAGGTGCCAATTTTCTAATTGGTTTCTACTGTAAGGCTACAGGAAGTAGGTTGCAGCTGCATAGAACTTTGATAGAAGTTAGGTATTAGGACATAGATCATTTCAGTATCATTAAAGCCAATGGATTTGAGAAGTATAGTTGGTGCCACCAAGGAAATGCAACTGATGAAGTATTTTAGGCATTTGTCCAAAGATCTCTGCAGAAAAAAATCTAATGGATACTAGCTTGGCATAACAATATTATTCACTTCACATAGATTTTTATAAATTCACATTCTTTGATATGTGCACATGGCATCCCACTTATGAAATATATATTTATTACTACTAGTAGTATTCCCCATGGTTATGCATGCAGCACATCATTTAAGTGTACCCTTAATGATGGAGACCAGGAGATAATGACTTTCCAGTAGTAGGAAAAGAGGCTATGAATAGAGCCCAAGTTCCTCCAAGATGTATGCCATGCAAACTGGATATCATAATCAAATCTTAATAAACCCAGGGAAAATATCTGTGTTGATGATACTTGGAAAAACAAGAAATACTGAGCTGTTAATACATTTAGGCACTGTACCCTCCAATGTTAGATTCACCAACTTTAGAATATACAACAGTTACTGAAAAACTGTTTTTAGAGATAAAGAACACAGCACGCCCGGCGCCGCAGCTCACTAGGCTAATCCTCCACCTAGCGGCGCCGGCACACCAGATTCTAGTCCCACTTGGGGCACCGGATTCTGTCCCAGTTGCCCCTCTTCCAGGCCAGCTCTCTGCTGTGGCCAGGGAGTTCAGTGGAGGATGGCCCAAGTGCTTGGGCCCTGCACCCCATGGGAGACCAGGAAAAGCACCTGGCTCCTGGCTCCTGCCACTGGATCAGCGCAGTGTGCCGGCTGCAGCGCGCCAGCTGCTGCGGCCATTGGAGGGTGAACCAATGGCAAAGGAAGTCCTTTCTCTCTGTCTCTCTCTCACTGTCCACTCTGCCTGTCAAAAAAAAAATTTAAAAAAAAGAACACAGCATAAAAGAGATAAACTCTTACAAATTCCAGTGTGTCCAAGAGCCGTCTAGACATTTTGGTACAAGGCAGCAGCTGGAGAAAGAAATGAGAGGATTCGGAATAATGGAAGTGTCATAGTAATGAGGAGAGAAACAGATATATGAAATACAAAACTGAATTTTATTTGATTCATAGCAATGATTTTCAAATTTCCTGATTCTACAAAGTATGAATGACATATTTGGATAACAAATATGTATAGAAACTATATATACATAAAACACTATATATGTATAGCAACTGTATGCATGGTATACCTATGTATAAATATATAGAGAGAACATGTATATAATATGAATACATATATAAATATTATGTTGCAGCAAGAACCAAGAACTGAAAAACTGTCACTTCCTCTGGAGCACACAGTGACCCTTAGCAAGCAGTGTACATGGCATAGTCTATTCATGAGGAATCAACACACAGGACATCAGAAATAAATTCAAGGGGTTCCTCATTTACATTCTTTGTGAAATGTCAGATCCTAAAAAGTAGAAATGCATCATTTTCTATGCATGGAAGGCTATTTATATTCAAAATTGTAGGAAAACTTGAGTGAAAAAGGCCTGTTTGGAGTAAATACTGATACTACTCATAATGATTTACTTTAACATATGTTTAGTGTTCAAATGCATGACTGGCTTAATTGTAAAACATCATAGCCCAGTGATTCATGTTCACCCAGGGAGTGTTTCCAGCTTCTCTAAAGTGCTCCTCCCTTTTCACTATTTCCCTTATTTGAAGCTCTGAACCCAATTTTTATTTTCATGGCTTGTGATGGAGGTTGATGGATAAGTTTAATGGGGAAGAGATTTTTCAGGATCAATTACAGACTCCCATTTTCAGTGCCATAACATCATCCCTCTTTTCAATTACATAGCTTTCAAGTGAGTTATTCTCTTCCCATTACAACCTGCAGCCTTATGATTGTATGACTGCTATTTCAAGAAGCACTTAATTATGTGGTAAGATGAAGAATCATTTTAGTTTGTGAATGTAGGAAACATTTAGAGGCAGTGCTAAAGATGATGTGCCATTCCTTGTCATGCTTTCTTTGACAACTGGAGTGTACTCCTAGGTGTGCATGTACTTTAGAGAGGGCATTCCAGAGCCTGTTGTAGTATTTACTATAGATATCAAATACAAACACTTAGAAGAGGTAGCTGTTGCCAGAGGTGATTTAAATTGATGAGGTGTGCATCCAAAAATAAGACCATGTTCTTTGTCTGCATGGACAACCATGGGATAACATGCCCAAGACATTATGATGTAAAAGCAGATCTTATTTTTCAGAATCATTTAGGCTTGGAAACCAGTAAAAGCTGGTAGCAGCTTTGGTTCTGGTGAGGACGTGTCCTGCAAATACAAGAGTTCACACTCTGTACTCAGCAAATCTACACATACAGATTAGAACATATGAATGTTTGGCCATGACCATTCCATCTCTCACAGTAATCACAGAATTGAAGATAATATGGATTGGAGGCTTTTCCCTTAAGATCCTTTTGTATTTCATGCAGGTTTCAGTCCAAAAACTACCAGTATGCTCTGGCCTTGGTTTTTGCTATTGAGGAGATCAACAAAAACCCCCATCTTTTACCCAACATGACCTTGGGATTTGGTCTATATAATGTCATGCACAGTGCTATGACAGTAATGGAGAACCCCTTCATCTGGCTTGTGGGACTGGAAGAGGACATTCCTAATTACACATGCAGGAAACAGAGCAAGTCTGTTGCTGTAATATCACAAAGCAGCATTGCTGTCCAAATGGGGACACTGCTGGAACTCTACAAAATTCCACAGGTGAGTGTGTAGTGAAAAAGTGGCATAAAGTACATCACCTTAGGTGCCTTATTTAGATCCAAAAATTTAAGGGTCAGAGACCATATACAGTTGACACAGTATGTGATCTAAAGAGAAGACGTGCAGAGATTTTGTGGAATAGCCACATTTGTTCTGAAGCAGAAGTGTGGGTGAGTAAAAAGGAGAAATGTTTTTTTCAACCTGTGAGTCTAATGATTCATGAACTAGGAAGCTTTTATGTACTGGGACATGATAAAAATGAAATATTCTAAAATCCGACACTTCCATTATCTGCTTAATTTTTTCAGGAATAATGTTTTACACTATGACAATAACCTTACACAGATTTCTTGCCTTTTCCCTTAGCTGACTCTTGGACCTTTTGAACCTCTTCTGAGTGACAGTGGTCAGTTTCCTTCCCTCTATCAGATGACCCCCAAAGACACTTCTCTGGCCCATGGCATGGCCTCCTTGATGCTCCATTTTGGGTGGACCTGGGTGGGTTTGGCCATCTCAGACCTCCCAAAAGGTATTCAGTTTATGTCTGATTTGAAAGTAGAGTTACACAAGCATGGCATCTGTATAGACTTTGTGGAATTGATCCCAGACACTCTAGAGTCACTTTCTTCATTCCAATATGCGTTTCATATCCAGATCCTAAAATCATCAGCAAATGTGATGATTCTTTTCTGTGTCACTGAGTCACTCATAGGCGCCAGCTTTCAATCATGGGGGGAGTTAATGATGTGGAAAGTCTGGGTCACCACTTCACAATGGGATTTTGCCAGTTCTGAGAAACCTTTCCTGCTCCACTCATTCCATGGGACTCTCATTTTTTCACACCACCATGCTGAGATCTCTGGTTTCAAAAACTTTCTTCGGACAGCTAACCCTTCCAAGTACCCAGAAGACTCTTACCTCTCCAGATTCTGGTTGCTGGCTTTTAATTGCTCAGTTACTGGGACATCCTGTAAAACTTTGCAGAACTGTCCACTGAATGCTTCCTTGGAATCCTTGCCTCCGCATCGTTTTGATATGACCATGAGTGATGGGAGTTACAACATATACAATGCTGTGTATGCTGTGGCCCACAGCATGCATGAGATGCTTCTACAAGAGGTAGAAATGCAGCCAGTGAACAATGGGTCAATGTTGGCATTTTCTCCCTGGCAGGTGACTTGGTTTCCATTATTGACATGTACTCCTGAAGTGATCCCCTTAAGAGTTTCTGCAGGTGTCCAATCCAAGTAGCTTGGAAACCTTTCTGCAAAACACAAGATAAAAATGAGCTTCTGCCTGTAATTTGTCATTAGCAAAAAGGCTCCAATGAAAAGTGGGCAGGTAATTTGGATCAGCATCAATTCTATGACTTAAAAATACACTCCAATTCTGTCAATTTAATTTTGACATGTGAAATACCTAGACTGTGTTATTCCATTTTCAGTCTCAGCAGTACAGTAATTATTTTCAGTGTTAAGTGTTGCTGAGGGTGTTCATCTACAATGAACATAAGGGATCTTATATAATTTGCACAGTTCTTTATTCTAGTAACTTTATTACAGATAGTTGTCCTAGGTACACTGAGAAAATGAGTGTTGGTAGCTTGGACTGCACTGTTGGAAATGATCTGAATCTCACAGCTAGATATTTTTGATTCTACTTGTTTTTGTAGAAAAATGAGTGAAATCATACTTACCTTGATGTAGTTCTCATCAGGTTTATTTTTTTTACTTCAATTCATTGGGTGGTTCTAAACAGGTTCTATTGTTTATTTGTGATTACAGACAAAGAGAGGTTTTCTCTTACCTGGTTTTCATGTGTTATTGCTTGGCAGTCTTCATGAGAATATGATGCATTTTTTCAGTTGCACCCATTTCTGAAGAATCTCCAGTTTACCAATCCAGCTGGTGACCTAGTGAATTTGAATCACAGGAAAAATTTGGAAGCTGAATACGACATTCTCAACTTTTGGAATTTTCCATATGGTTTTGGACGTAAGGTTAAAGTAGGATGGTTTTCCCCATACGTTTCACAGAGTGAACAGTTGTCTCTCTCTGAGAATTTGATAGAGTGGGCCACAGGAATTACAGAGGTAAGTTGGACTGATCATAAGGTTCACATGACACATTGTTACCCCCCAACTGCTAAGGGAGTATGTGCAGTATGGCTTATTCAAAAGACACTTAGGGACATTAAACCATTCAACTTCCAACCCAAATACTTTCTTCTGTTTTTAGTGTCTGAGGATGGACAGTACACACACATTTTCCACCACATCTTTTGAATCTATTTAAGAAAATCAAATTGAATGTTGTCATTTTGTCAGAAATAGATGTTTACAGTTTCAGTGAATAAGTTTGCAGGACTTGAAAACCCTCTACTTGGAACTTAAGTAATAGTCTGAATTACGATCAACACTCATCTGATTTTTCTCAGACTCCACACTCGGTATGCAGTGTGAGTTGCAGCCCTGGATTGAGGAAAAGCCCTCTGGAGGGAAAGCCTGCCTGTTGTTTTGATTGCACACCTTGTCCTGAGAATGAGATTTCCAATCAGACAGGTAAGCCATTGCCTGCATCTTGGAGAAGTTACCACCTGTTTCTTAAATTATCAACTTATCCATGAAAGAAAGTATGTGGAATATGACTTCTGAGAATACTCTTCCCCCCTTCAGGTAGAAATTAATCCTTATAATCAATAATAATCCACAAAAGGATAAAACTTTCCACAATACACTCCCTATATTATTTTTGAAAGCATATAAAAGACTGAATGTCTCTGTAATGCTGACCATGTTGGAGTTCAGGCTGATATACATATGGTAAAAAATGTATAGAAACCAAGATTGGGTAATATTCACCCCATAATACAGTGTGGCATTTCTAAGATTTATTTCATGAATCAGAACTATGCCATCACATGCATCATAAAAATTTTCCAGTTTTTGCTTGTGTTGCATGAGTGGTTATTTGTACCATATATTTAGTATAATTCTAATTTTTTGAAACATATTGTTGATAATGAAAGCTTTTGGAAACAGAGTACAGTCCATGGGAGTAGTGTGGTGTATGTGCTAATTCAGTATAGGAAAACTCATGTCTGGGTTCCTTGTGCTTATACAGGTAAAAATCCTTTCACCAAATTCAAGTGTAGCATGCTTGGAGTGAGAAAGTGCAACTCTACACAAACTGTGTGTTATGTGAAAAACTATCTTAGAAATCATTCAGTATATCATCCTGAGGATGATACTCATCAAATATCATAAATGGGGCTAATCTTAGCCTTTGACAAAAGTCATTGCTGCTCAAAATATAAATCTTCAAGAACATTCTTATGCTTACATATGTATACACATTTATAAAATTCATATCAAAAGAACTCAACCTGACATACACGGTAATAAGTATGCATAGTGGACCTGGCACTGTGGCGCAGTGGGCTTAAGCCCTGGCTTGAAGCACCAGCATCCCATATGGGTGCCAGTTCTAGTCGCAGCTGCTCCTCTTCTGATCCAGCTCTCTGCTGTGGCCTGGGATAGCAGTAGAAGATGGTCCAAGTCCTTGGGCCTCTGCACACACATGAGAGACTCCGAAGAATCTCCTGTCTTCAGATCAGAACAGCTCTGGTTGCTGCAGCCATCTGGGGAGTGAACCAGCAGATGGAAGGCCTCACTCTGTCTCTACCTCTCTCTGTAACTCTGTCTTTAAAAAAAAATAATTATGCATACCAAGGTAGGTCAATGACTGCAAATTCAGTACAAGCCCTTGAAGGTAAAATGTGGACATTATAAGGAAATTGAAGTAAGTAAAAATTGGAAGAATTTAAAGTTGGTGATCATAAACAAGAAAGATTTATGAACTTCAGCAAGATGGAACAGTGCGAACAATAAGATTACTCTGTGTGTGTGTGTGTATACACAAAGGGAGCTGAAGAGGTCTATTTAGATATAAAAATACTAATATTAGAGCTTATTAATCATTTAATTCTGATACATTGAAAAATATAGAAGAAATTCAGATATTCTCAGATAGAAATATTATGAAATATGTTGAGCAATATTTGAAAAATCCAAATATCCTCACAGTTATTAAAATAATTCCCAATACTTGAATGGTGATAAACAATTTTCAGATATTTTCTCAACTCCTATAGAGAACAGGAAAAATGGAAAAATTCTGTTTCTTCTATGGGAACATCTCAAGTTGATGGATCAAATACTGCTAGATATTTCAGCAAAATGAAATTGTGACGCTGTTATTGAAATAAATGCATACATTTGAAATCTCAAACAATGTAAATCCAACAGTATTTTTTAAATAAGCTACATCATGCCCAAAGAGTTTCATAAAATCTAATTCAGTTTATAGTACATGAAAAATGCAATATTAATTAGCATAACTGAAGAAAAATAGTTAATAAAATCTAAGTGATCTATGAATTGTAAACAAAGAACAAAACCACTCAAACATGACAAAAAGAAGGATTAGCTTTCAATCCTAAAGAGTATTTTAGAATGCTACAAAACATGGAAATTATGGCTGAAGATTGGATACAAAGTTGACAAAAGAACGCAACTTCTACAGAAAATTACACAGGAGCTTCGGCTCTATGCATATTGTCAAAAAAGAATGACATTCAACTTACTAAAAAGGAAGATATAAAAGTGGCATCATTTAAAGTGATATTGGGATGGTGTAATGAAATCAGTGAATTGATAATTGAATTAAGTAGTGCTGGTATACAAAATTGTACAAAGCAGTTATTTTCCTTACCAATTCTGGAAAACAAACCTATGAATGATGGCACTTGTAATGTCTCAAAAGTATGAAATATCCAAAGGAAAGACTAACTAAATTTTGGAAGAAATCTGCAAGTTGAGTCATCAGTCTTCAATGGAACAATATATTGAACATAAGATGATACAGACCGAGCTTGGAGAGAAAATTCATGTTCAAGGACAAAAAGACAGGAAAGTGGAAATATGCCAGCAAGTTTCAAGCTGATCTACAGACTGACTTTGATTATAGGCAATAATCCTAGTTTGTTCTTTGATGAAAACGTTCAAGGGTGGCAACTAATCCAGCTGGTATCAAGTGTACAACTCTTCTGTGATTCTCTAGAACCTGACCATTTGCCTTCTAATGGTGGTTTGTCAATCAGTGCTTTCCCCTATCATGACATAATCCAGATTCTACCTTAAAGAGATATGTTTTAGTGAGATTGCTAGGTGATTTCTGTGCAACCAAAATTCACAAAGTATATCTCCCAGTCCATGATTTTAAGAGTGGGAAACTGGGCCGGTGCTGTGGTATAGTAGGGTAAGCCTCTGGCTGGGATGCTAGCATCCCAGTTGGTCAGCAGTTTCAGCCCCAGCTGTTTCACTTCCAATGCAGCTCTCTCCTGATGCTT